GGCAGAATTGGAGGTACAAATGTTTGGGAAATCAGCTCTGCCCACTCTGCTTCCCTGTACGTCCCTGGCAGCTCCCAGCACTTGGCAGAGGCTGGAGAGGCTGGGGAACAATTCCTGCCTCTCCAAAGATCTCCCCCCTGACTCTGATCTGTGTCTCTCCCCCAGCAATCCTCCCCACTGTGCCAGAGAGCTCCTTAAAAAACACATTTAGTCACACAAGTGGGCTCTTCACCCCTCTCTCTTTTCCCTGAGAGGAATAATGCACTCGATTCCCTTTGATTTTTTAATTTTAATCCCTTTGTTAGGCACACGTGGCACTGCTGGAAATGGCACAGAAGAAGTGCTTTGTACCAGGAGTGGAGAGCTGAGCTCAGATCCCATTGCAGACCTGCCTGTCACAGCTCTCCTGGGCTTAAAAACATCGTTGTGGGGGTTGGGACCATCCCAAATTTTACATTTGGATCCTTTTAGTTATCCTGATGAGCTCCTGTTCTCATGGAGAGCCAGGGAAAGGCCTGACAGGCTCAGGATAGGCTGAGCCTTCACTAGGAATATCAGAGTTCATCTTAATTTTACATTTGCCAACTCAAATAAGTGGCAAATCCCCACTGTCCCCATCTGATCTGTTTTTCCTGCAAGCTCTTTTCTCAGCTGAGACATTCTCCAAGTCTTCCTGCTTCTGTAACTGAAACTGGGCAGACTTTCCATCAAGTTATTCCCAGAAAATCAGAACTTTTCACTGCAGCTGCTTATGGAGCGTGCCTCTGTTTTATCACCTGGCTTAAATTTGGTTTAGCTGGGAAAGCAGAGCAGCAGGTGCAGATGTGGAAATAAAGCATGGATTAGACTCATTCCACCAGGAAGGAGATCCCTGTCCATGCACAGCCCTGGCTGGAGAGATCCCCTGGAGCTGAAACACAGAATGAGCAGCGAGAACAAAGCTCTGGGAATTCCAGAGAATTTAAAGGTAAATTGGGCAGTTTGGTTAAAATTAACCTGTGTTTTTAGGGACAGGATCCCCCACAGCCAGGAGAACCTTCCCAGCTCTCCAGCAGCTGAATCTCACCTGCACAAAGGGCAGGGATGAGCTCTGACTCCAGAACAGAGGAGGGATGAGCCTGCAGAGGTGATGCTGCTTGGGTTTTACACTCCCACCCATGCTCCTGCCTCTCCCACCCCACACATGGAGCTGAGCTGATCACAACACCCATGGCCACCATGACCTGGGGGGACACTGGGGGCTCTGGCCAGGATGATCCTTTAAAAAAAAAAAAGGATAATCCCAAGTCCCAGCATAGAAGATGTCATTACAACTGCTTTAATGTGGTCATAAAACACAGACAAGCTTTGAAAGCTCATAATTCTTTCATAGAGATATTGTTTAAATATTTAATGCCCACATTAATGATATTCTAATCCTTTTGGAATATGTGAATTTGCACTCATTTGCATTAATTTTGACTCGCTGGCAGTTTTGTTGAATCACATGAGAAAGGGGCCATAGACAATGGCTGGCTGGCAGTGGGGTGTTTGTTAATTCTCACCACAACGCCTGGGCCAGCACCACCAGGGCCTTAAAACCAGCCTTTTACACAGGGAGAAACCAAAAGCAGCTGGGGCAGGAGCAGAGACCCAGCCCAGCTTGTGCCTTCAGCAGGAGGAGAAATGCTCCCAGTGAGCTGGGATCTTCAACAGCACTTCATCATTTAAATTTAGAAAAAAACAAAAAGGAAAGGATTCCCATTCCTTGATAAAAAGGTAACATCATCTTCTTTTCTGGATTTTTCTCCTGCACAGCAGGCTGGCTTTGAGGCCCTGGTGGTGCTGGCCCAGGGGTTGTGGTGAGAATTAACAAACACCCCATGACAGCCATTGTCTATGGCCCCTTCCTGATGTGATTTAACAAAACAGGCTCTACAACAGAAAACTGATTTTTTGATTCTTTCATGAGGTCTGGTTAGACTCCAGTGTAAGATAAGGCACGTGGAGTTCTGTTTGCACTTCTGAAGCACAGAGCACGCCTTGCCAATCCAGTATTCCATCTGATACCTGCCAGGAGCTGCTCTTAGGGCCACAAACACATCCCAAACCACGCACGGGGGGGCTTGGCAGGCAGGAACCTGCTCCCAGATGTGGGACTCTGCTCCTCGCCTCTCAATTCCCTTCATTTCCCCTTCAGACTCCTCCTGTGGATCTCCAAATCAGCCAAGCATGTGAGAAATGCTCCTGCCTGGAGATTCCCTGGGAGCTGCAGCCATTCCTGCTCTGTGGGTCTGTTCCAATTCAACCACCATCAATGAATCAATACCTTTGTTTTCCCAGCACCTCCAGCTCCAACAGGAGGGGGTTGGCAGAGCTTGGAGGGTTCATCTGTGTCGCCCTGATTCTTAAGATTTTCTAAAGCCTTCTGAGTTTACATTCTGTTAGAGCACTTTCTCACACAATTTTCTACAAACAACATATTGTTTTGCATTCCTTCACAGGAGTAGAAAAACTTGATATACTAGTAGTTTACCCAATGTCTTTGGAGAGGTGGCCCATTCACTCTCCAATCCACTGTCACCTTCAGAAAAGTATAAAATTAGAGTCAGAGAATAAACTTGCTTCTTTACCTTGCAAATAGCAGTAACTCCTGTTGTGCTTTCACGTGTCCTATAGCGACACATCTGGGCCAGCAGCAGCACGTTCCCACCTCATCCAGGCCTCCAGCTGCCTTCTGAGGCTTGAACTGTGTGAGACACAGGCTCTGGAGCATCTGGACATTCCTGCCAGCCATGCATTAAACAGGGATAAACCCTAGTGTGGCTTTACATTTAGAATTTGCCCTGATAAAGCCCAGCTTAAAGATGCTTGGAACAAACTGGGTGGGGTTTTGGGGTTGAACTCCACCAGGAGGGGACAGTGATGTGCTGAAGCTCTTCCCTCTTTTCCCTTGCCCCAAAACTGTCCCACTCCATCCCCTTTTTGTCCTGCTCTGCTTCCCAGTGACACTTCCATTTTATCTTCAGCCCCGATTTTCTCCTCTGTCCCCCACGCCACCTTTACCAGGAGGGGACAGTGATGTGCTGCACCTCCTCCCTCTTGTCCCCTGCCCTAAAACTGTCCCCAAAACTGTCCCCAAAACTGTCCCCTTTTTGTTCTGCTGTGACGCTTCCCCGCTCCTATTTTGCATTCAGCCCTAATTTTCTCCTCTGTCTCCCATGTGATATTTCCATTTGGACGCTCTCCTAACGACCTTTGGCTGAATCTATGTCTTAATAACATCAGGATGTCTCTAACAAGTGTCTGCTGATATATGCAAGAACCTTCTGCTCCGGACTTTAATCATGAATAATAGAAACAATTTACGAGGCCCGAGGAGAGCGAATTATGAATCTCCCAGCTCGCAGCAGACAAGATAAAGCAGATGAAAAGGACACGTTGTCCATTTACTTATTTTTAAAGGTTTGTTTGCTCTGGCAGCACATGAGGGATGATCCAGCACCTGTTAGCTTGTTCAGCCCCTTATCTCCCCATTTTGCTGCCTGATGTGGCATTTTTTACACCTGGATTTATGGCAGCAGGGAAACGTTTAAGAGCAGGGCTTAGAGGAGATTTGTTAGCAGGGAATTTAGCGATGGTGCAAATGGAGTTGTGAAGAGGAAGGGGAGGAGACAGGAAAACAGCCTAAACCACACATTTCCAGCAGGTAAATCAGTGGCATCGTCACTGCATTTCTTTGTGCTTCACAGAATGAGCTAAAATTGGCAGGGCTCCACTGGGGACCCCTCACCTCCCTGCCAGGTTCCCAATGTCAGCCCCCAGGGTGAAGACAAGGTATGAAAAATCCCAATTTCCTCTGCCACAAACCCAGAGGCTCACCCCCAGGTGGTGGCACAGGCAGGATGGAGACTCAGCCTTTGATTATCAGGCCAAAATTCCAACTTTTTCTCACCCCCAGCAGCCTGGAATTGTACTCAGGTCCTTGAGATGCTTCCAACCTGCAGCACAGCAGAGAGGAGCATTTGTGGTTGTGGAGTTTTCCAGCACTGGAGTGATCCAAAAGGGAATCCCACCTGGATCCCTGCATCAGGACCCTGCTGCAGGCTGGGTGAAAAAGCAGATTTCAGGGAGATGGTGAGACAGAAAAGTGCTCTGGGAGCTGCCCCTGCTGCCCTGCTCTGAGCCCAGCCTGGCAAAGCCTTTCCCACAGCAGCACAGATCAAACATCCTCGTCCCAAACACAACAGAGCCTGAGCTGCTCTCGGGGTTCTCCTTTTCTCTTTGCAAGGTGCACAGAGCCCCCAAACTTCCTGCAAGTTCAGGGGGGAAAAAAGAACTTGCACCTAAAGCTGTTTCTGGTTATCAGATACTATTCCTCTGGGAGTTTGAGCTCAAATATTAATATTTCTTTTCACACATAAAGTGCTTTACACTTCCTGCTCTATTGATAGAATGTCCTGGCTTCAGCACTGTCTGATCCATGTCTGGCTGGAAAAATAAACCCCTTTAGCTCAGCCCCCAGAGCTGCAGGCACTGAAAGCCAAACCCTCAGCTGAGCTAAAGTGAACAGATCCTGTCCCAGCTCTGGGCTGCTCTTTCAAAGGCTGGGACATTTTCCACCCTGTTGGAGATCTGGAATGAGGCTGGAGCTGGAAGCTTTGGGACAGCTCGAAGATATATTCCCCTGTGGGAAAAAAAAAATAAATAAATAAGAGAGATTTGAATGTATTCTGGTGGAAGAGGATTGAATTTTATGTTTTCTGACTGCTTTTGCAGACAGAGCTGGCTGTTTCCCCACGAGGAGCAGCCACAGGTCCCGACCAAGGGGGTGGTTCTGAGATGGAACAATTTCCCAGGATATTCAGGAATTTCTGACAGCAGCAGAAGGAGAGCTGAGCTTCTGTAACCCTGCCCACCTTGAAACTCCCCTGGGAGCTGGGATTGCCCCTTCCACAGCCCCAAAATCTCTTTGCAAGGCTGGAATCTGTGCTGAGCTCACAAACAGCATCTCCTGGGAAGGGAGAAAGGGCAGAAGCCAGAGAGTTTGGAAATGAACCTTCCTCAGAGCACAAACCAGATTTCCCCAAAGCCCTGCAGGAAATTCTGCTCAAAAAGAAGTTTAGGAACTGCAGAGAGAGAATTTGGTCACTAAACCCACACCAAAATCCTGCAGGGTATGGAAACCTAAACCCCAAATAATCAGCTCCAGGCACAGCTCTGGATTTGTTACTTCTGTTCTCTTGATTCTACTAATTCCTATTTGTTTCTATTTTCGGTGCTGGTTTTACAAGCCCAGTAATGGAGAATTCCTATTGATTCCTATTTGGGTGCCAATAAATCCCATTAAAGGTAAATTGGCCAGTTTGGTTAAAATTAACCTTTCAGGTCAAAGCCTGGAATGGTGTTGAATAAATCCCATTTTATGAGCAGCTGGACAAGGTCGTGGATGTGGCACTGAGCAAAATTGCTTTTCCTTTTACAGCTGGAGAACAACTGGACCCCACTCCTTGTGCTCGCCCTGAAAAGCATTGCTGCAAACAAGAAACAGAAAAGCTAAATGAGCTCCAGGATTCCTGAAAACTCATATTTTTTTTCCCCCTTTTAATAATGCAGAAACCCAGTTCCATTCTAAATAGAGAAAGTGCTGATTCCATTCACACCCCAGCATTTGAGTGGGAAAATGAGATTTAATCTAAGAGGGGAAGATGCTGAAAGACAGAAAGTTCATAACAAATAACTCAGTGCAAGGCTTGGTAATTAAACAATTTCACAGCAACATTTGCTCTGGGTGTTTTCTGTGAAGGAAAATGAGTTGTTTATGAAAATGAAACCCATTATTTATCCACAGCAACTTCAAATAACTTCTTTGCTGTTAAATATATTTAACTCTGCAATTTAATGCTGGACTGAATTGCCCTGTCTGGGTTTGCTGTGGTTCTCATTTGGCTCCCCACCCTTTTTGGGGATGAAGGGAGAGTTTCCTTTTTTTTTCTTTTTGGCCTCTTTACTGCTTATTTCCAAAAATAAAAGAAATCCGTTTGAAATCTACTTCGCAATCTTGTACATAATCCTTTTTTTTGCTTCTGCTTGTGACCAAAGTACAAATCTTTCTGAGTTTCAGTCCCTTCAGACCTTTTAATTTCCTCCCCTCAACAGACTGATAAGGATTAATAATAACACCTGACACAAAGGCAACAAGGAGAGATAAGTTATTACAATTCTGGGGCACTAGCACGGTCCCTGCCTTTAGAGATGACAGAAAATGCAAGGAAAATTACAAATCTTTTGCCAACAAAAGGTTTAAAAAAATCCTGCTGATAGAAGAGATCAACTGGAGGGAGAGGAGAATGTGGAGCCACTGCAAAAATCCCTCCCTGGCACAAATTGTGGCAGAGAGACCTCTCGCTTCTAGGAACACCTAAATCTTCCAAAGGAGAGAAATTTATGGCTTCTTATTAAATAACTAATTTTTTCAGGCCTTGCTTAGCTCGAAGATGCCATGGGGATTAAAGGAAACCGTTGACATACAACAGACAGAGTTCTTGTTTTAAATAAAATATATGCATAACCATGAAGGATATATGAATATGCAACAAGTGTATTGTTTTTAAGGGTGATTCCTTTGTTCACAAAACATGCTTTTTGTGACTTAGCGTCCGAGAGCATCCGGACATCCGTAAATCTTTGCTTTTTATTGTCTTGTAATTGTCCTAACTCTAAACTTTATTACTATTATTACTACTACTACTACTACTACTACTACTACTACTACTACTACTATTATTATTAATATTATTATTATTGTTGTTGTTATTATTTTTATTTTTATTTTTATTACCATTTTTATTACAATTTTATTATTATTCCACTTTTAACATTTTAAAAACCAAGTGATTGGCGTTTTTCACGCTTTCCCTGCTGCCTGAGAGCAGCAAATCTGCTGAACATCAAGGGGCAAGCCCCACGTGGCCGGTTTTATCCCCCAAACAAACCATCCCTGCAAAGCTGGGCCCTGCTGAGGCAGCTCAGAGCTAATCCAGGCTGAGATGTTTTCCTGCTCCATTCTCAGCCCCTTCACAGAACGGGATTTATCAGCGCTGCCCTTTGCACTCTGGTTTTCATTAACACCAGTGCACACTCGCAATTCTTTACAGCCCTCATTACCCAAGTCAAAATAAAAGCAAGAAGCCCTAATGAGCAGCTAAAG